GATTTTTTTGTAAGACTTTATTGTCTAGACAAATATTCAGGATTCAAAATTCTTTTATGAAGAAGCATCATAGAGCATAGCATCAAGAAAATACTTTGCAAAAAGATTTCTTAATCCCTATTTTCCATGTGAATTAGGCTATGAGATGTCAAAATATTTACAGGTGAAACTAAAACAATTATTTTTAAGTTATGTAGACTGTGGGAAAAATTGAGACTTTCTATATAAATTGAATTAATTATAAGGATTCTTTCACGTTCGCAATATCATACAAATTATTTTTAAGAAATCTGAAAAATGTACAAAAAGACTCGTCTCAATTCTAGTCCCAGAAACAAAATGAATCTTTAATAATACGATCTTGTTCACCAAAAATTAACAAGATTTATACTTTTTTATCGTTAGAATAATGTTTTAAATTGTTTTATATTGAAAACCTATTGTAGTTTAATTAATGAGTTAATGTCTGAACCGTATTATATAGGTATTAGATTTTTTAACAGTTCACTTTAGTAATCGAGAATGTCATTAAGATAAAATAAAAATTATGAAGTTTTGAAGTTTATTTTTTGCATATTTAAATTAGCATTAAAACAGAAGATGATTCTCAGCCAATTGTAATGTATAAAAAACAGATTATTGGCTACTTCTCTTCAGAACAGGTTCCAATTACACTTTATGGAAGATAATCTGGAAAGAAAGTAACTATACTTAAGTATCTCCTAAAGTAACTCATTCTATTAAGCCAAAAAAGGACTTTCATCAAGATAAGTATTTAACACAACTTTCAAGAAAAGCTTTAGGTAAGTAAGAGGCGTAAACTCAAAATTTTGCACAAATAGTCGAAGGAAAACTATGTTTGCGAAAAATCAACGTGATTGTTTTGCAAAGTAGTCGCCTTTTGAAATCAATTGACACATCAACACTTTTACATTCGAACAAACCAATCGTCGAAGCATTGAGCTCAGTGTGAAATGGGTATCTCAAAAATGAGATTTTTGTATGATTCAACTTTTTTCATTTTGTGCATTTTTCGTAACGCACAGAAATCACAACATACAGGATGGCTTATCAAATGTGACGATTGCGGAATTCATCAATAGCAAATAGATCGTTGTATATTATTTATTATAAAAAAGGGTAGTTTGCATCTGTTAGCCGAGTGATGTTTGTCAAAATTTAAGCAAAGTTTTTTATAGGTATCCAAAACTAACAGCTTAGGTGACTTTTAAAAATGGAAAAGATTAGTATTATTAAGTACCTTCACTTCAAAGAAAAATGTTCGAAGTTCATGGTCGAAAGAGTGTTGTTTGGACCCATTTTACAATATTAAAATGTAAAAACCTTGAATTATTTATGTCTGTCTGTCCATGAATACCTGATCACCCATGACACCTTATCGCTTAAACTGTTTAACGCAGTATGGAGAAAAATGCTGGCGATTGATATGAAATTATGTATAATTCCGCGTGCTTTTAATTTACTAACTTATACCGCCTTTATTCTGTGAGGTTGTTGAGTGGACTGTATTATTTTGTGTGTATGTTGTACGTAAAGAATACGAGTAACTTGCTACTCTTTTATTTCTCTACGTACTATAGGTAACAGAAACAGGTAGGTACAATATATGATAATATACGTTGTTACACAAAGTTTTTGGTTTCGCAGTCGCTGTGACAAAATTCCTTTTCTTGTTGTGAATACTTAAGAGTGAGAAAGAGCGGGAAAAATCGGTAGCACACACTGTAAGAGTCGCAAATACGAAAATAAAAAAATTATTAAATTAGTTATTAAAAAACCATGTTTCTTCCGCGAGAGTTTCTAACAGACTTGCTGTTTGGGATGGTCGCCGATGTGACTCGGGGAACTGGTCTTTTTGAAACAGGTTTTATTGTTGTAAGGAATATTTCAGTCGTCTGGGCATACAGGGTGAGTGAATTTAATAAATCAACAGGAAACATTCAATTTTACGAATACTTTATTAATTACGGGGATGCAAACAAAATCAGTTTACAACCAAAGTACTGGAATATGCTTGTAAAATAAGTAACTGGGAAGAGAATAACCCCCTCTGTGGCTCAGTGGTAAGAGCGCCTACCTTTAAACCTAAAGGTCGTGAGTTCGAATCTCACCTGGGTGGAGAAATTTTCGTTTATTAAAAAAAATTAATAAATGAAAATAATTTTTATCCTTGTGTGATCGGTACTCACCGGAGGGACCGCAGACTTTCGGATACAATTAGCGACTTTTGTGAATATTAATTTTGTGTGTAAACGCATTGTTGTGTACAAAATACGTAATAATTACCAATTGGATTATATACGTTACTTTCGTATTTTAAGATGTCACATATATACGTATAAATACATATACACACGATAACATCCAACACGCTCCGACGTTTTCCTATAAAAGAAAACCGAGCAGTCTTTGAAATAGATACGACTTTTAGCAAAGACAATGACGTCGACTTTGCTAAGTATCAAGACAATTACTCTACACACACACACTACATTAATAAACTGATCTTGATTGAGACTGGCTGAATGACAATTGTCCAAGCCAAAACACAAAAAAAAACTGGGAAGAGACAGGCCTGAACATTGACGATAGAAGATTAACAAATTTTAAATTCGCAGACGACATAGTTTTGTTCTCGGACAACCTCAAGGAGATATGTATAATGCTACATGAACTTCCCTTAGTGTGGTTCTTAAAATAAACATCTCCAAAACAAAATTCATGACAAACCTAGTACCTAGGTGACACGTCGCCCGAATCAGTGATAAAAGGTGGACGAAGAGATTGCTTGAGTAGAGGCCGCGGTTAGACAAAAGAAGTAGAAGAAGACCCCTACTCGTTGGACTGACGATCTCAAGAAATTGGATGAAAAGTGCTCAAGATAAAGAACAATGGACAAAAATGACGGAGGCCTATGTCCAGCAGTGGACGTAGAGGGCTGGGTGATGATGATGTCCATGAACACAACTCCTCCGTTATTAGAACAGATAGAATGACAAATGAGGTGTCGAATAAGAGCTTATAACCCCAAAAATACCATTTGGGGTTATAAGGTTTGGCCAAAGTGATAAATTTGACTTCCGGTTCGGAACTTGAAATTGGAAGTACTGTTTTAAACATGAAGAAATAGTCCAAGCGATATATTGTTCGACGCGCCTAAGCAAGACAATAACAAATATATGCTTTTGGTTTTTATACCATCATCAAATCTTTCATTCCTGATGGCGCATCAATCTCTCTTGTGCATTGTTAGAGTTTGTTGTATGGCTTTCGTTACAATTTTCTTCCACTCATTTCCCAATTAGCTTATGTGCATAGTTCCCACCAGTTTCTCACTTTTAGGATTTTGATATCTTTCATCATGATACTATGAATAACAAGATAGGATCTTCCAGTAGCACAAAATCGGTCGTGTTCGCGCATGCCGTCATTGGAGAGTAGAATTTGAATTCTTGTTAAGGTTAAATGGGATTTGTATGCATTCTATGATGAAATTACTAGACGAAAATAAGTTAAGAGGTTCAATAATTACAGTAATCGTACACATAAGGATATCTCCAAACTATTTACTAAAGATTATTTATTGACATATACAAAAAACTGACATTTCGAACGTGCAACTCTCCAATGACGTCACAACTTATGCGCAATATCTTATCTTCTTATCATAGTATCATGTCTTTCATGACTTGGTCTCACTTTGAGTCTTCTCCTTGGTTTTTCAGTTTCTGGTGACCTGTATCAGTAGGTCGTTTTTCCTTCTCTCTATGCGTCCCAGCAGATTTTTTATTGCATTAAATAATTTATTTCTCCAATACAGTCAAAGGCTTGTCTGAAATCTACGAAGAGGATGTGGAGTTCTATGTTGTGTTAGTGGCATTTCTCGATTGTTTGTATAATTATGTGGATCGCATGTGTAGTGGATCTGCCTTCCCTGAATCCTTGCTGGTAATCCCCAATTAACTTATATTATAATTTAGCGATGCCTTCTGGTCCTTTTCTCTTGCTTCCTTAAACTGTTATTTAGGTATCCTTCTCTGGTCTTGTATCTCCCTGGAGTAATCTTCAATAAACTTTGATTTTAGGATGGAACTGGCTAGGTTTCGTGATATTATCGTTCCTTAAACGTCAATTGTCAAATTGAGATGTCTACTTACTTGTTTGTTGTTTACACTATTTATATGTATAAGTTGTAATCGTAATTTTTTATTCACTGCACTTTTTTCTATCTCGATACTGCTTTCTGTTTATATATATTTTTTACATTTATAACCACTATTTTTCGGCTATTTGTTGAACTTTCACGTCTTGCTACTCATACACACTGTTGTCCGGTTTTTATACCACTTCCGCTTAAAGATTTATGATCGGAAGTTTGGCAAAAATGACTCGAAATTAGTAAAAAAAAATCGTATATCAGTCGACGCAAAGTTACACGAAGAATTCAAATATCGACTTCCGGCCACGTTGGGAGAAAACCTAGGACTTGCGAAGTCCAATTGCTCGTTTGATGACGAACAGCATATTATATAACATGATCATAGCAAATCGTAGGATTTGCCAATATTTATAAGAACAGGTTTTAGACATTACTGCGAGTGTTAGTAATTCTATATATAAAATTTTCTTTATTGCACGTCATCTAATTTTGACGCTTGAGTCATGCCAAAGGATAATAAATACCATGTGGTATTTCCTCTATTTTTCTTATTGATATTGAAAGTGGTCCCTGAACATGGAAAGCGTAAAATATCGTATGTCAAATTGAACCAGTCGGTTCTTTATGTGTTTTTTAGATATATTCGAAGTTTTGGGAAAATGTTTTAGTTGTTTTAATTATAAATATTTGTACGAAAACAAATTAGGAAATACGGTTGATCTTCGAATATTTCCTCGCACTTTTAAACAAAAATATACAGTCATATAAAAACATAACAAAAATATATTTAGTCTTATAACTGTACACAACAATTTAAAATTTAGTTATTAACAACAGAAGACGAAAATATTTGTTTTAAAATATGTGGTAACTCTTTAGTATCATTGCAAATAAAAGCTTTTCCAGCTGGTAAACTCCTCCTTAACCTAAAAAAAAGAAAAATCGTTAAGAACGTAATATATACAATGTCATAAAAAATAAGTTCGTAACTAAATACATTTTCAACCAAGCAATTTAATTGAACCCAGGCTGAGAGACCTGTTCACCCCTTAAAATGACGTTCGGTGTAACAATTCATTGGACGGGGTGTATTAATTCGTTCATAAATAGGAATCGCTTCCAGCGCGCTCCAATGCTCCAGACCATCTCTTTCCCCCTAACGCGTAATAGGGGCATAGTTATTAGCCAAATGCTCCTTATGTGGGAGTCCTGGGTAATAGAATTCAAACATGGTTCCCTAACCGATTCAAATTCATTCTACCGTTAAGCAGTTTATTCCTATCAACCTCTTAGTGACTTTCCGCGAAATTGAAATTGCTTGTTTGGGCCTCAAACCGCTCTGGGTTGTACCCAGTTCGCCCAGACTTGGTGCTCGAGGTGTTTAGCGCTACGTGCCCGGGTTTTTTGGTGGCTTGGGTCGGTTTTTTAGTATTTTTTTTTTTTTTTGGTGACCGAAGACATTTTATGTTTTTTGTTTATTTAATTTTTTTTTTGATTAAATACATTTTAATAATGAATGTTACTTTAAATACAATATGCCAAATATTTCAATGAATAAATACATATAGAGACCACGGCAACAAAGACAGAAAAAAAAAGTCTCACCGCTGAGTGAAAAGAGCATCTCCCTACCTTGGCCTGGTACAATGTCAGAGACAAAGTGGATTTGGGCAGGCAGTACCTCTCACTCCATTGGTATCATTATATACAACTTTGTTCAATAATTTCTGCCGTTCAAAAAAAGATAATTCTATTAGGTTTGTGGTTTAATTTCTCTATAGGTAGTGTGACAAATATTTACAATATGGTTCACGTTATTTTCCCATTCTGCTGTGAACTTTAGAATTATGGAGTACCAAGCCTCAATTGGTACCGATAGATGATAGTTAAACTTTTTCAATTTGTTGATTATTTACCAATAGTTGAGTATTTAACATGGGTTGTTTACTGACGATAATGCATTTGGTCTTTTTTATATTCAAGTGCAGCAAGTATAAAGTCTGTCTCAATGTATATCGTTTTGAATTTTACCTGATTATTGTCTTATCTTCATCTAGGTATTTTATGACAGGGCATCAGAGGCGGACTCCAAGTAAAACTAATAATATAGCAATTTCTTTTCGAGGCATCTATTTTATTGTAAAGAAAATTACATTTATTTAATAGTATTTTAAAACTTATATTCAATACTGAGTGATAACAATAAGTTATTTAAACTTCACTGTAAAAGTTAAAAATTAATGATTATTAAATATCTATGTTCTTATTCTAATACTTATATTATTTATATTCGAAACATAACAATACGAGATTTAAACTAAATTAATATTGATTATTATTCTGTGTTGTTATTCTAAGTTCAATTCTGTTTCACTGTCGGAGTCATCATTTAGATTAATCACAATGGGCTGTATATTAAAACTTTGCGTAGACAAATAAGAATGTTCTACTTTTACAATATGCTGTACTGAATTTTTCCAGCTCTCAATCTATATATTATTTATAATAGTTTTAATCAACTCTATGACAGTCGCACTCAGGGTAGGAGAGACATTTTCCGCTCTTATCTTTGCTTTTACTTGGTGCCACATATGTTCAATGGGGTTGAATACACAATGGTATGGAAGAAGACGTAACACAGTGTGTCCCATCTGTTCTGCTAAGTTGTCACATACATATTGCTTTTTACATTACTGAAACATTATTGAAATCGATTAGGTATGCAAAAACCAAAAAAGATTTTAGAAATACGACACTCTATCTTTTCTACTGATAGATATATCAATATAAATTGATAATTTAAGAAATATAATTTTATGTTTAGTACGCAAAGTATATCGACAAAAATATGAAAAAAAAAATTTCGATTTTTTCAATATTGACTAAATTAAAAAAATATATACCTTTTCAATTATTTCTAAATATTTTATTAGATTCGTATTTTATGTACTGTTATGTATTGTTTTATGTATTGTTAAAATGTATCAATAAAAATTATATTTAAGCAGTGATACATTTAAAAAAAATACAATTAAAAATGTTTTGTTTACGCTACGTTGGGAACTAATGGGTTATATCGGTTGAAAGCTGAAAAAATTCTGTACAGCATATTGTAAAAGTTGAACATTCTTATTTGTCTACGCAAAGTTTTAATATACAGCCCATTGTGATTAATCTAAATGATGACTGCGACAGTGAAACAGAATTGATCTTAGAATAACAACTCAGAATAATAATCAATATTAATTTAGTTTAAATCTCGTATTTTTATGTTTCGAATATAAATAATATAAGTATTAGAATAAGAACATAGATATTTAATAATCATTAATTTTTAACTTTTACAGTGTAGTTTAAATATCTTATTGTTGTCACTCAGTATTGAATATAAGTTTTAAAATGCTATTAAATAAATGTAATTTTCTTTACAATAAAATAGATGCCTCGAAAAGAAATTGCTATATTATTAGTTTTACTTGGAGTCCGCCTCTGATGCCCTGTCATAAAATACCTAGATGGAGATAAGACAATAAATCAGGTAAAATTCAAAACGATATACATTGAGACAGACTTTACTACTTCTATTAAGTGAATCATTTGTTAATAACCGTTCCGTACTATCTGCCAACACGACTGTACTGTCTGTATATCTGACGTTGTTGTTTATGTCTTCGTTCATAATTTCTCGTCCACATCTTCCATAGCATGTTTAAAAAAAATTCGGAGTATATATTAACGAGAAATGGGGACAATATGCATCCCTGTCGTACTCAGCGTTGTATTGTTATCAGATCTGTCAGCTGGATATATACATATTTTTATATTAACAGTGTAATCGTAGTATATGTTATTAATAATCATAAGATCTTTATCATCTATATACCGATTTCTTTGATTATCGATAAGAGTTTTTCATTCTTTATTCTGTTGAACATCTCTTGGTAATCTAATTAACGCCGTTAAACAACTGAGTTCTTCTTCTTCTTAACATGCCATACACCAAAGTGCGTAGGCGACTATCTCATTACTAGAACTCTGTTCTTGGCGGCGTGACACAGCTCGCCTGTATTGTGTATTCCTGTCCATTCTTTAATATTCCTTAACCAGGATAATTGTTTGCGGCCGGCTCCTCTCTTACCTTCGATCTTCCCTTGTACCAGGGTAACCAATCTTGCGTTATTTAATTAATTCAAAGAGTTTTCTTTCCACGCCGGCTCTCTTAAGGACGTCATCGTTTCGAACTCTATCCACCCAAGGTATGCGCATCATTCTTCTCAATGACCACATTTCAAATGCTTCAAGTTTGTTGATAGATGTTTTTTTCAAAGTCCACGTTTACATGTCATAAAGCAAGATGGACCATATGTAGCACTTTACCATTCTGTAGCGTATTTCGAAATTTAGGTTTTGATTACATAGGAGCGGTCTGAATTTCACAAAAGCTTGTGTTGCCATTTGTCTTGCCATAATCATTGTTATTGATTGTTGTGAAAAGGTATTTAAAAGTTTTCACGCGTTTTATACGATCGTCACCTATGCATATTATCGGGTTTTCTGGAGGGTTTCTGCTAATGACTATATATTTCGTTTACAAAATATTGATTTTGAGGCCATATTTTTTTACCTATGCTATTCACCCTATCAAGTAATAACTGCTGATCTTCCAAATTATCAGTTATAATCACTGTGTCGTCCGCATAGCGTAGGTTGCTAATTGGTATGCCGTTCACCATAATGCCTAATTCCGTGTCTTCTAATGCTTCTGCAAATATATTTTCAACATATAAATTAAAAAGCATCGGAGAGAGTATGCAGTCTTGGCGGACACCTTTCCAGATTTCAAATTCATCCGTATATTGGTCTTGATCAATCCTCACCTTTGCCATTTGGTTCCAGTATAGATTCTGAATAATTCTGATCTCCTTCTGGTCAATGTTGGCCCTATGTAGTAGTTCCATCATGATATCATGTTTAACATTATCAAATGCCTTCTCGTAGTCGATGAAGGTGAGGTAGACATCTTTTCGTTGATCTAAACAGTTTTGTATTAAGGTGTTCAAACATAAAATTGCCTCTCTTGTTCCTAGTCCTCCCTTAAAACCGAATTGTGTTGACTCGCTAAGTTCATCTAGTATCTTGTACATTCTTGAGTGTAATATCCTAAGGAAGAGTTTCAGCAAGTGACTCATTAAACTGATTAAGCGGTGTTCACTGCATTTTGTGGCATTAGCTGTTTTTGGGATCATCACAAAGGATGACTGCAGCCATTCTCGCGGAATGTAACCAGTATCATAAATTCTATTGAACAGCCTTAATGAGTCCAGCGTTCTGTTATTACAAACTGGGTATCTAGTTCTTGCATTAAGTTGGATAATATATGTCACTTACCGTTCGGCTTGGTCGCCCAAACTTCCAATAAATACGGCGCACGCGTTAATATTTGGCTTCTCGGTCATGGCTTTTGCGAGATCTTCTGCTGGAATACCGTATCTTTGTAAATTGGCATCAGACAGCACTATAACGATTGATTCATCGTAAGCCTCTTCATCGATATTTGATACTGCCCACTGGGTGGTCTCTAAGGTGTGGTCGCCTTGCATACAATACTGTGAATGCGCGTACATTGTCTAAAAATGATAAAATGGTGTATTAAAATTAAATAAATTTTATGTATTTGACTTTGGGATGTTTGAACCTAAGATTCACTCCCATGTCTTTCATATTGAATGAAAATTAGTAGCCCCTTTCTGTTACAGCAGGATATAGCAAATCTCAAAACAAAAATGCATTTAAGGCAACAGATAAACTCTCCAGGTAGGTCCAAAAATAACGTGAAAGCTGAGAACCGAGGTCATGTACCGACAGACTTGGGCTCGATGGTCAGACCCTTCAGGCACCCAGCTGGCGAGAAGAACAAAATTTATTTTGCAAATTCGACAGTCAAAGGAAGTACAGTTCTTCAAGCTACCCCTAACACTAGGTGGCTTAACCACACAAGATAACTGAGGTTGCCTCGTTACCCAGGGCATCTAAAGTACAAATTAGTATAGCCTCCCCTTTCGTTAAATGTCTGCGAAGGAGAGGGGTGAAGGATAGCTTGGGGGGTCAGATAGGTACCGTTTCGACGGAGCGTGATCGGTTTGATCTTCATGTGGTTCCACTATTCATCGGAACACACATGTATCGTTAGGAGCTTGATTGTATGCTTAGGGCGTGTGTGTATGAAAACATTAATAGTGGATAATAGGATATTTCCATATATTTTGACCCCTAGAAGCATCCATATCCATCAAGTTTTCAACTAAACACTTACCAACGAATCACATTAGTTACATTAAAGTTTTTGGTGCTTTTTTGTCGTAATTTATCTAGTACAGCTCCTCCACATTTAGTGGAGTGGAAATAAAAAAAAAATAAAAAAACATAAATTACTATTATTAAATACATACCCTAAGAACTTTCAATCTATCGTTATTATTTTTAGGTGGACTATCTATATCAACAAACCGAATATTATATTCTTCTCCAGAATGTCCAATGATGTCGTATTTTATTTTGTCGTCAAATCCTTCAAAAGCTTCCATCACTAAGACTACTGCTTCCAGTTCTTTGTCCAAACGGCCATCGTATGAATTAAACCTATACATACTTCCAGATACGTCTACTACAACTCTAAAAAGCTTTGGTTTTATTTGTGGAGTACCCAGCTCAGGCTTTTGTTCAGATCTTCGCCGAAAGATCGTCTTTTCCCCCAATATCCCTAAAAAGAGTTCATCATATTAGCGTACATTTTCTTTTCTCTATTAATAAAAACTGGTAAATGTTGAGAATCTGAGAAAATAGACTTAGCAATGCTCAGCCAGTCAGACTGACTTCCATTTGCAAAACAAGGCGAAGCCAAAGAAATTATTAGAGCTATGGTCAAAAAGGGATCATTGAAAGATTTTTGTATTGACTACCCTCAGCTGGATTGAACCAGAATGGAATATTGGATACTCTATTTGTGTTTTGCTGATTTTCCAAGTAAAAGAGGAGTAGGAATGGAGTCAGTTGATTAACAAAAATCGAATTCTCGATAGGATAAACCCTTGGGCAATTCCAGTTATGCCTTTTGGTCTATGCAATGCTTCCACTACATTTTAGAGTGTGTTTGAAAGATCATTCGATGAGAATCTCAAGAGCTGTACAAATAAATAAAAGATGTCAATAAATAGTACATATACAAGGTGAATTTTAGTATAAAGTTACAATACAATAATGAATATAGTCCAATACCTATTCCAAAGTACTTACCATCAATCAGTTTAACATCATCTAACTCGCCAGTCGTTTGATGTCTATACCACTGTCTTTCTTGGTTTTTGGCTTGCAGGTTATTTAAAATAACCCTCAAAGCCTGAACTGGTCTTTCTACTGCAATTGAAAATTGAGAATAGATAGAATGGTCGTACTCATCCATTCCTATTTCTTTCAGTTTTTGTTTGAACGCGTTTCTACCCATTTCTCTGGCTGCCCTCTGAACATGTTCCGGAACTTCACTTTTTTCTTGATCTGAAAGCTATAATAAATATTTCATAAGTAAGATCAGACTGGATCAGCCATAAACCTATCGTTAAAATGCAATTTTGTTGAAACTTTTTTTATTTATATTATTCAATATCGAGTCAGCCCGATATCTCAGTAGAATTGTAAGTGGCATAGCCACATTCCAAAAATATAGAGCTGGAAACGATTTTCAGAGCCAATTTTCAGTTCGATATTTTTCAAAGGAGTAGTGCAAATACATGGTACTATAACAAAACAAGATAAGTCAACATGCATATTCTTGTGACGAGACAAGCCCGAGACAACTTTAATGACGGCAAGTTAAGTGCTCATGTTAATTATGTTGCTGTGTTAATCGAGTTTGCTATCCTGTGTATTTCAAAACGTAGTGAATGATATTTTTATTTATTCATTGATGTAGTAAATACTTTGTATATTATATTGTTATATAAATTTTGTGGTGAAAACATTCAGTTAAGTGTGTTAATATCACCTAATTTGTTTATCGTACGCAACTTCCTCTCGACGACCTGTAGCTACTTTATAAAGAAGACTAATTATTTGTTTGCCATAATGTATTGTGCAGTGGTGGTTTGTTTAAAAAATAATAATAAAAAAGTAAAACTTTTTCGACGTGTCGTTTTTTGTGTTTCCTATAGACAAACAAATGCATAAAGCATGGGTCTCCAAGTGTTTTCAGCTAAACAATTTTAATGTAGAAACCGCGAGAATATGCTCAAAACTATAAAACTATGAAAAATAGTGGAAGTTAAGAAGTTATGTCATACCTTCTCTTCATTTAATAAAATCCCCAAGCGCTAAAACATCGCCTGAAAATAGACGCAAAAGAAGAATGGAGAAAAGAAATTTATTAAAAAACATGTAAGTATTTTGGTTTTAGACACACTTTAACACCAAAGCAAATGTTTCTATAGATAATAATAAATGTTTCTATAGATAATAATATATACTAATACCCATTTAATAGAACTTGAAGTAATATACCTACTTTATTTTTGATAGGTCTTTTATAAAAAAAGTTACTTTGGATGTATGTAGTATGTAGTGAACTGGAACATATTTTTCGTAGTTATAATGGCGACACATTATAAATAACAAAAAATTATTTAAAAAACTTTTTTACTTTAATAAAAGCTGTAAAATACGTAAATGTTAGCGAAGATGTAAAATTACTTTTTTTTTTAGATGTAAAATATTTTAAAATACGAATTCTAAATGAAAATATTAAAGATAATTAGAATTTCTTCATAAAGAAGATCTTCATCTACTTATTAATTTTCAAACCACGTTTTCACAGAAAGTAACTAGTTATGACTTCTTAGTGCAAGGAGTATACTTACCGTTAACAGTTCAAGTTTCGAAGTTGTTCATTACAGTAATGGAGCAACGTTGCCATATGATGCATCGTTAAAATATGATACACACAAGTCACCTGGCTTTGTCTCGCTACGACGTCATGCGCAAAGTCGATTAAAATTAGAACGGCAAGTGAGCATATCTAGTTTGTTATAGTATTATGGTATAAATATTATTCCATGTGGCATAAAATCGAGAAGCCTTCGAAATGGTGATCGCCAATGTCGGCTAATTCTCATATAGCATGTGAAGAAGAAGAAGTATAAAATCCAAAGTGGATTTGCGTGAGCATTGAGTAAGTCTATGTTTGAGTAAACAGTATGACGAAGATGGGCACTCGTATAGAAAAATCATGGAAAATTTATTTTACCATTATTAATGAAGAAAAAATATTAAAAAAATTAAAATGTAAATGTAAAAAATTAAAAAATACATTGATGAGATCATTAGATATGATTTGCACTTACAGATTTGACTCAGGATATTTTGAAGAAAATACTACATTGTAAAAAATGACATGCACCCTTTCCTCCATGCTATGGCATGCTGGACGAGCCATACAGTCTGTAGTCAATACCCCGAGGTATGAGCGGGAACACAAAGTGTATTAATACTCACACGCTTATGAAACGCACCTGGCGCATCATAAATGCATTCACATTTCACTCTTTTTCAACTTGTCTTGAGTGAAATGTCTTTAATCTTTCCTATCGGCCAAGATAACTCTTGTTTCTTCCGACCCCAAATGGCTATTAGGTTTCCGAGGGCAAACGGGTCACTATATTTCCTTCTATTACACACTCTAGGAAGGGAACGGGAAACCACCTAGAGCCTTCATATTTTCCCAAGAAACAATCAAGGAAATGGCTGATAAATACAACGGACCCGAGTACGGGCTCTCCTTAAATGGAGCAGGGGTGCTAAGAATCTCCCGATCAGCTAGAAAACATGAACACATTTTCTAAAGAAAGAAAAATAGGTACATGGAATGTAACAAGCATGTACGAACCAGGAAAAATTCACAACACCATTAAAGAAATGAAGCGTCTAAATATAAGTATCCTTGGAATAAGTGAAATGAGATGGCCAGGGTCTGGAAAAGTAACTGTAGATGATCACATTGTATACTATTCAGAAGACAGCTCAAAACACAAAAATGGTGTAGCAATAATTGTGTCGAAGGAAACAGATAAAGCTGTAAAAAACGTCGTCCTATTCTCAGACTGGTAGGATACTGATGATACAAATACAATCAACAACAATCAATGTGAACATATTACAAGTATATGCACCTACACAAGACTATGAACAAGAAGAAATTGAAAAATTCTATCATGATTTAGAAAAAGTATTAGCACCTACAAAGAAACACGATCTCAATATTATTATGGGAGATTTTAATGCAAAGATTGGTGAAGGTGAACAGGCAGATATCATAGGAAAATATGGTCTGGGAATACGAAATGAAAGAGGAGATATGTTGACATCTTTTTGCGTAGAAAAGCAATTAGTAATAACAAACACAATTTTCAAACTTCCAAAACGTCGTCTTTACACCTGGAAATCACCAGCAGATACACCTTTATGACTTTTTCGTAACCAAATAGACGTCATATGTATAAATAAGAGATACAGAAATTCAGTATTAGCACTAAAAATATATCCAGGGGCATATGTACCAACAGATCACAATATTTTAATAGGAAAAATAAGACAGAGATTAAAAAGAGTTGCAAGGAGGAATAAGCAAACAGTTACTATTGATAGAGAAAAGATGTTAAATGATACTGTAAAACAAGAAATAACTAGTATATTAGTACAAAAAATAAAGTTAACATCAAGCAAAGAGGAAAGTACTGAGGAAAACTGAATTATTGAAGATGAAGAGAATTATTTGAAGATGATAGAGTAGAACACTATACACCGATTGCTATATCAGGTCCATCTATAACAGAAAGTGAGGTTACACGTTCAATACAATACAAACGGCAAAAAATGGAAAAGCACTTGGCCTCGATGAAGTAAGTGCTGAAATACTAAAGTTTTTATGAGAAAATGGAATTAAAGCTATGTGTAATCTCTTTAACAGAATTTATGACACTGGGATATTACCAACTGATTGATAATGTCGACATTTTTCACAATACCTAAGAAACATTGTCCAAAAACATGCGGTGATTATCGGACAACAAATCTGATGAATCACGTTTTGAAGATTTTCCTGCGAGTTAGAGGACAGAATTAGCAATACTCAATTTGGGTTTAGGAGTGGCTTGGGTACAAAAGAAGCCTTGTTTAGTATACTTGTGGTAGTATAGAGATGCAGAGATATAAATCAAAATGTGTAGATTTGTGCAATCGATTTTGAAAAGGCTTTTGATAAAGCCCGACATAACAAAATGCTAGAAATATTGGAAAGAGTTGTATTGGACGATAAAGATCTACGAATAATTACAAATCTATACTGACATCAAGTGGCAAGGATAAAGGTTGAACAAGAACTGTCGGATGAAATAAATATAAAAAGAGGAGTGAGACAAGGTTCTATATTTTCGCCTTTACTTTTTAATTTATATTCGGAGGAAATATTTAAGGAAGCCTTAATGGAGACAACCGAAGGTATCATTGTGAATGGAGTAACCGTCAACAATATTAGATATGCCGACGATACCTTAGTGCCTAAATATATGATAGTTAGCAAACAAAAGTATATACAGGATGACGATATAAAAGTCGGAGATGCCACACTGGACAGAGTAGAGAAACTCGTGTATCTCGGCAGTAATATCAATGAGAGCTGGGAACCAAACCTCAAAAACTAAAAGCCGAATAGAACAAGCCCGAGCTGCCTTTGTAAAAATGAGAAACGTACTTTGCAGTCACGATCTTAGCATTGACCTTAGAGTTCGAATGACATCTTTCTACATCTTTCCTGTCCCGCTGTATGGAGTGGAAGACTCTAACTGAGGCTATCCTTAAACGCTTGACAGCCTTTGAGATGTGGGTATACAGACGACTACTGAAAATAAGCTGGTTCGACAGAGTTAGAAATGAGGAGGTCCTTAGACGGCTGAACCAAACAACACAACTGGTCAATATAATAAAGAAACGCAAGCTGGAATACTTCGGTCACATTATGAGACACCCTAAAAAATATGATCTTTTACATCTGATCATTCAGGGAAAGATCCAAGGTAATCGTGGTCCTGGTAGAAGAAGAACATCATGGCTAAAAAATCTAAGACAATGGTATGGAAAATCAACTACATCGTTATTTAGAGCTGCTGTCAATAATGTCAGGATAGCGAATATGGTAGCCAACATAATATCCAACGATCGATAACCGTCATGGAACTAGAAGAAGAAGTGTTTTGTAGCGTATTTCCTGTGAACTGAAGTACATTTGCAAATTGTAATAAGTACATGTTCGTAGGGCTCTGCACCACGATCTATGGAAATATTTTGTGCGGAACTATCTGTGTCGAGTAAACGCCTTGTTACTATATAAACTCGCCTTCATTGCGTCTACAATATTATATCCGAATGAGTACTGCACCTTAATATAAAGATCGAATGTGCGATTCACCGAACACAAGCTCGTAATTTAATATTGCCGAGAGATTGAAAGTAGGAAGC